CCGGCTCCACCCTCCGCAAAAGTGTCCCAAGCCCAGATATCATGGTGGCTGTGTCTAGACTGGCCACTTTTTCTGGAAAAGCAGTTGCTTTTCCGGAAAAACTTGACAGCTGTCTACACTGGCCGCTTGAATTTCCGCAAAAGCACTGACGATCTCATGTAAGATTGTCAGTGTTCGTGCAGAAATACTATGCTGCTCCCGTTCGGGCAAAAGTCTTTTTCCGAAAATCTTTTGCGCAAAAGGGCCAGTGTAGACAGCAGAGACTTGTTTTCCGCAAAAAAGCCCCGATCACGAAAACTTTTCCGTTAAAAGCATTTCCGGAAAATCATGCCAATCTAGACGTAGCCGGTGAGTGCAGCCAGCCTCCATGAGTTGTCAAGGCTGCTGTTGGTGATTCACTAAATGTGCCCAGCGGTGGAATTTGTTAGGAATCCTCCATGTTTTTACGTTGGTGTTTGGGCAGGGCGTCGTTAGCCTGTGAAGGGCATCGTCTGGTGCCAGATCCATGTCCCTTTTGACCCTTGACCTCTCCTTTGATTCCTCCCTTCCCAAACCCTCTGGGACCACACAGATGGAGAGGAACCTGCTTCTGGAGGAGAAAGTGAAAACCCAGACCCAGAACCACTTGAAAGTGACCAGGTAAGCGCTGCAGCCTGGTACAGTCCAGCGTACCTGCGGGAGCTCACAAGCTGAGCTCTGGGCTGGGCTGAAGAGAACTGGGCGCGGTGACAGAGCACACAGCAGGGGAGATGGCATCAAAGCACGGAAGCGGCAGGCCAGAGGGAGGGACCTGAACAGAGCTGTTATGGGGTGCTGCGGTAGGGGGCCGAGGTGCAGCAGTCCCCTGTGGGTGCGTGACTTCGCACAGCACTGGTGCAGCTCTGGTGAATATATGGGTGTGTATTAAGGAGGGGAAAGGTTAACTGGTTAACCACCAAGCATCACCCTTCCTGCTTATGGGTAACCGGCAGCTCGGCAGGGCTGGAGCAGCTCTCCACCGGCCTGCCACACTGCCCGGCACTGCAGGCCGGAGGCTGCTCCAAGGTTAACCGGTTGACCCTGGCGAGTAACCGGTTCACCTCCTAAATGAGCCTGAGCACCCCTCGTGTGTCTGTGCACGCGTGAACTTGGGTGTGCACAGCCCCCATCTGGCTCTGAGCTTGCCCAGCACGTCGCTGGCCCCGGGCGTGAATATAACCCACCGCAGCCCTTTGCAAGACCATTTCAGGCCCGCCACCCTGGCCTCCTTTGGCAGCAGGGAGAACGGCTCGCCGGTCTCTGATTTCCCCGTCTCTCTCTCACTCGGGGGGGCTTGTTCCACCGGCTCAGCTGCATCGCCTGCCGTTTCTTTGCAGGCAACTGTCTGATGAGCTCCTGGTGGTCCGGGAGGCCCTGGACAAGGAGTCCCAGCTGCGGGAGCAGGCTCACCGGGAGAAGGAAGAGCTGCTGTACCGGGTCCTGAACGGCATCTCCTCCCCTGCCTTCCCCGTCGCCTCCAGCGAGGTGCCCCTCATCGCCACGTAGTGCTCCGGGAAGCGGCGACAGAGGCTGCTGGGATGAGGAAGCAAGGAAGGGGAACCAGTGACTCTGCCACCCTCGTGTTCGCCCTTCCTTTCTTACGCAAGTCCAGAGCTGCTGCCATGGGGACTCTGGTGGAGGGGAGCCCTGGAGGACTCCCCGCCCCTGGGGACGTCCTCCCTCCAAAGGGACAGAGCCGTGTTTCCTGGGACCTTTTCAAGGTGCTTTTATTCCTCCTGTGTGTCCCCCGGTCTGACTCCAAACGTGGGGGAGTGGAGAGACCCCCAAAAGCTAGACACGAGCGGCGTGAGGTGTCTGGGCTGCACCCAGCTTCACATCTCAGGCAGTAGCTGAGGTTACATGGGGCCCAAGCTAGGAAAGCCAAGGGGTTCTCCGGAGCGTTCAGGATGGGGAAGGACCGGCGTGCCCCGGAGCCCTGCATCTGAACAGCCTCCGCCTTGGGGGACGTTTAGTTCAGGCTCCGGGGCTGACGGTCGCAGCTTGGGTTGGTCTCTGAGCAGCCCCACCGTGAAGGATGCTCCTCTCAGCCGGGGATGTTTAAAATAGCGCTGAGCTGAACCCAGCCTCGGTCCCGGGCGGCTTCGTGGTGCTCACGGGCAGGCAGCTGGAGAGGCGACGCCTGGGCCTTTCTCTCTGGTGTTCGGGCATCCCCACAAGGAAGGGACGTGAGAGGTGGAACGTGCTAGGTGTGGGCCAGGCTCAGGGCTGACACGAGGAGAAAGCAGCACTTTCTGCTGGCCAAGCAGCAACAGCGGCTGCAGGCAAAGCAGCTCGCCGCCTGTTCCCGGAACCGGCGCTGCTGGCAGATAGCAACCAGCCGGAGTGATGAGCCAGACGGCCAACGGGGGGACTGTCTCCTGGGCCGACGGAGGATGGGGAAGGGTGACGTGGCGAGCAAGAGGTGGACAGCGCTTGTCACTGCCCAGGCTTTCTGGGGGCAGAGGGTTCTAGCTCCGTAAGGTTGCCTATATCCCGACCCCGGGAACTGCCTGGCGGTAGAAGCCGACACTGAACCAGTGAGGGCCTGGGGCAGAAGAGGGGAGGTTGGACAGCTGCATTGTGAGGAGGGGCCCCCTGGTTCAGCCATCCCACAGCTGCAGGCGGGAGAGGAGCTGGGCTGCACGTGGCCAGGGTCTCTGGTGCCCGGCGACTAGTTACATGGGACTATGGAGGGAGGCTGGGAAGTTTGTTCTTGTGAGCAGAGCTGCTTGTCTAGCCCCATTCAGTTCCCCCTGCATCACCGAACTCTGGCTGGGCTGACCCGGCCCTGACCCCTTGTCTACTGCCGTGCTGGTCCCTTCTGGCTCCCAGCTCTATATTAAACCTTCCGGGGGGGCCCGCTGCCCTGGAATCGCCTTTGCCTTTGCCCTGCCTCCCGTGGCCTTCCCCAGCAGCCTCAGTTTCCCTGCTCCAGCCCACACCCTCCTTCCCGTTGGCGTCTTGCTGGGGCTCAGCCCAAGGCTTGCCACGTTCTCTTTTGCTCTCATGTCCCAGCGCCGCCTCCCAGGGCTTCCTCCCTGGAGTCTCCCCTCTGCGGGGGCTGCTGCAGATGCCTGTCCCTCGCTCTAGCGCCTCTCAGCTGAGCACTTGGGCAGCCACCCAGGACAGATTCCAGTGCTGCTTAGCTAATGGGCAGAGTGCCCACAGACTCCCACAGCTGGCAGCATGGGGTTCTGTTGGTGGTGCACCTCTGCACATGCCTGGGTGCACATAACAAAAATGATTCTGCACACGGATGGAAAATCCTTCTTTTTTACACTGACGTCAGCAGCTGCCCTAGTGCCAGCAGAGTGTTACACCAGCAGACGGGAGAGCTGAAGCTACACCTGTCTAGGAGCTCGGACAAGACCACCCCAGTCATCTCATCTGGCCTTACGATCCAGGAATGTGGGCTGGGAGAAGCATGATGGTCGTAGGATATGTCACGACAATGTGGCCTGAAGTGTGTGCTCCATTTTCCTCACAGAGGGCTCAGAGACTGTCCCAACGCCCGTCTTAGACGAGGAACCTCTGTTAGCAAAGCCGGCACTGGTGGCAGATGGTTAATCCACCCTCGGCTGAGTTAGAACCTGAGCCATGTTTGGGTGCCACCATACAGCTGGCTCAAGAGCACAGAGCCTGAGAGGAGAACCCCAGGGTCTGCACTAACCAAACAGAGGTTGCTAACTGTGTGGTGTCTGTCACTCCTCTATGTGCGGCTTCTTTCTAAGTGCCCATGGTGTGTGTCTGGCTTCTCGTTCCTTCCCTCTCCTCCGTGCCCCTCAGGGTTACAGGAGATGGTGGCCCAGAGCAGTACGGCTGGGGAGCTGACAACTGCTTGGATGCACACAAGAGCGTTCCACTGGGCGTGCAAATGCTTGTGGAAGAGACCAACTGGAGTGTTAGCTAGTGCCACCGACTGCCCTTAGAGTGTGTGTGTGTGTGTGTGTCTCTAAGCAGGCCCATGTGCTAAAGGGGGGTGTGTGTCTAAAGTAGACCTACGTGGTAAAACGGGGTGTGTGTCTCTACATTAGGTCTACCTGGTAAAGGTGGCTGTGAGTGTCTATAGCAGGCCCATGTGTTAAAAGTGTGTGTGCGCGCACGTGCGCCCACAGTAGGCTCATGTGGTAAATAGGTTTGCCAGATGGTTTCAACAAAAATACTGGACACACTTGACACATGACATCACAATCTACATGACATCTTATTTAGAAAATACGGGGCAGTTCTGTTCTCTCATTTCTATTTTCTCAATGTGTTTCCCGAACAGAAAGCTCAAACACTGGACTGTCCAGTTCAAAACCGGACAGCTGGCAATCCTAGTGGTAAAGGTGTGCATGTGTGTGTAAAGCAGGCCCATGTGCTAAAAGTGTGTGGGTGTGTGCGTCCATAGTAGACTATGTGGTAAAGGGGTGTGTGTGTGTGTGTCTGTAGCAGGCCCATGTGCTAAAAGTGTGTGTTTGTGTGTGTGCCCACAGTAGGCCTATGTGGTAAAGGGGTGTGTGTCTATAGTAGGCCCATGTGCTAAAAGTGTTCGTGTGTGTGTGTGCCCATGGTAGGCCTATGTGATAAAGGGGTGGGTGTGTGCGTATCTATAGCAGGCCCATGTGCTAAAAGTGTGTGTGTGTGTGTGTGTGTGTGTGTCCGTGTCCACAGTAGGCCCATGTGGTAAAGGCTGTAACAATACAATTGTGTAAGGCAGAGGCACAAAGAATGACGTTGGTATTTGCCACGTGGAGGCCTGTGTGTGGGATTTATTTGGCTTGAGTCACACATTGCTCCCGCGGCTCTCCAGGTGGCTGCCGTGGGATGGTGTCGAAGGCCGTGCCCGGAGGTCGCCCCTCCTTGGGGTAAGGCAGGTGGCTACTTACCTCACCGATACTTCCCTGGCCAGCAGCAGCCCTGCAGGTTGGCCTGGAGGTCCAGTCTACCCTCTGGCTGCAGCCCTGATGAATTTGTCCTCTTCAGCAGGCATGACACAGTCCAGGCAAAAAGGAAAGTAGCTGCAGGACCCAAGAGGGGCAGACCCCCCTTTCTGCCCACAAAGGGGGGAAGCTGCCTCTCCAGCCCCTCAGGAAGTCCGGGTTCCCACCCACCCTGTGGCTGAAGGCCAAGAGTTCGTCTGGAACCGGCCTGTCTTCTCAGGCGGGCAATGCTGCCAAGATGAGAGCCGGGCCCGTGGGCTGGGTCTCTCCCGTGGAAGGGCCTCCGTGCCAGAGCTGACACAAGCCACAGGCAGCACGGGACAGTGCTTTAGCCTCGTCTTCACGGGGGGGGAGGGTTCTAGCTTATCTGCCCCAGCACGGATGGGAGGCCGAGAACCTGCCCTGTGAGTGGAAGGGAGGGGGTTAAACTCGAGTCCTGGCACACAGGAGACGCTCAGGAACCAGAATGGGACCCATCTGGAATGGTCCTGGAGCTCAGCCCGGAGTCAGCCTGCAGCAGGTCCGCCCCCCTCTGCCCCCGACACTAAGAGAAAGGGAAAGATGTTGGCTACCGAGACCTTTGGTCTGTGGAGACAGGCTGCCAGGACTCCTTGCTGGGTTGTGTACAAGCACAGTCGGCGAGACGCCCTTTCCTGTGTGAGGGGCGGCGACCAGCGCTCGATCTTGCTGTGGGTCGCCCTCGCCATACTCTTATGAAGCCCACGGTGCTAACACGGGCCGTTGGGCAGCAGAGGGTGTTTCCCTCTTCAGCTGCCGCAGTGGTCCCACGGGGGCTGACTGACGTCTTTCCGATGGGAGGGGAAGGCAGAAAGCCCTTGCAATGATTTCCTGACTCCCCCGCCGGTTTTTTGAGGAGAGACGATCCTTGCTGGGATTCTCCCAGCTGACTCAGTGGGGAGCGCACGTTCCTCATGCGTTTAGCGCTGGGAATTCCCAGCCTACGTCAGCATGCCGTGTGGGCTCAGAGGGCCCCCAGGGCTACCTCCCAGCACAGAGGAGCTGGGGCTAGCACACAGCTCTCCCTAGGACTCACCCCCAGGATTTGCCTTCCTCATCAGCCGTCTGCGGAGAAGTCAAGGCTGGACTGGGCTGTCTCACCTGCCCCATCAGGCAGCGCAGCCTGGGGGTTGGAGCAGGGAGAAGGGAGAGGAGTGGACCAGTCGTTTTCCAGCTCCAGATCTGGCTCCCCTGCCGATAGCATCTGAGCCCTTCAAGAGCACTAGTGAGTTGGGAACTGACCCCCGCTCGCCTGGCTGCCTATGCCGGCGTCCTAACCCCAGAACCCACCCCCACACTGCAGAGACAGTGAGCCGGTGGCTCTCCAGCCCTGTCAGGCCGTTGTCACCAGCACTAAGCTGGTCGTTCAGAAGAAACAGCTGCCGCAGAGCGACGTCTCGGTGCCTTGCGCGCAGGAGACGGGAAGGGACGGACGGGGGCTGAGATGAGCTTGAGGGTCACTGCTGCAGCTGGGCCTCCAAACTGACCCTCTCACATGGCAACACTGGGAGCCCAGCCCAGGAGAGCAGGCTGGAAGAGCAAACCTGCTGGTGTCTGCCAGAGAGGCTCTCTGGGGTCTGTCATGCCTCCAGTGCCTGGGACCAATTAGGCTGCGGGGCGCACTGGACAGCCTCCTTTCTCTCTCCCGAATTGGTATTTTGCTAATTGCTTTTCAGCCTGCTAGGTCAGGAAAGAGTCAGGGGCAGTACGGGGAGAAGAGGCCTCCAGACATCCGTCATTTCTCTGGCCTGCTCCATTAGGGGGTATTTGTCAGCTCCCCGAGGGACAATCCTTACCCAGGTCACGGCACTGCTGGCTTCAACAGGAGCCTTGTCTGCATAAGGACGGCAGGCAGTGACCCTACAGAGTGCTGTGTCTGCCCCGTCAGCCAGGCAGCCAATGTGACATCCTGACCAGGTGTATTTCTTCATCATGGCTATATGGGGCTTTCCCTGTGAAAATAAAGTTCATGGCTGCTAGAAAAACCATATGATGGTCCCTGTGTGCACGTGGGAAAGCATGTGCCTGTGAAGATGTGCGAGTACCCTTGTGCACTGTGCAAATACATGCATGCACGGTGTGGATACATGCATATGCCTATACAAATTCATGCACAAACACATATACCCCTATATAGGGAGAGACATGCTCTCTCTCTCTGTGTGACCCCAGGAGCATACACGGATGCACGTGCAGGTTCCCAGATGCTGTGCACCCACTCACATATGTGATCACACACAGCACACTGGTGACAATGTGTGCTATTTCAGAAGCACCTCCTCCCTAGGGTTACTATGGCCAGGTGTATGCTAGACCCGGAAGGTTGAATTAAGGTATGCAACTTCAGCTACATAATATATATAGCTGGAGTCATTTTACCTTAAGACGAGATTGGCACCATTTTCACAGAGGGAGGCCGATAGGAGCAAACACTCCCATTGGCTTCCTTGGAGTACCAGCACTGACTGGTGAGGGATGGAGGGGCCTCCCTCTGCATTTGACTGAGCAGGTCTTTACCAGACCTGCTAAATCAAACACCAGGGCTGTGTCTACATTGGCACCCCTTTCCGGAAAAGGGATGCTAATGTAGACTTCGGAATTGCAAATTTAAATATCCCCCGCGGCATTTGCATTTACATGGCTGCCGCTTTTTTCCGGCTTGGGGATAAGTTGAAAGTAGGAATAAGAGGTCCTCTGGAAAAGGGCTTATTTTCCGGAGAATCACGTCTAGACTGGCGCTTTTCTCCGGCTTATCCCCAAGCCGGAAAAATGCGGCAGGCATGTAAATGGCTGGGCTATTCCGAAGTCTACATTAGCATCCCTTTTCCGGAAAGAGGTGCCAATGTAGACACAGCCCTTATGATTGATCTCCGGCACAGCAAGTGGAGACAATAGAACCACCTGCCAGCCTGAACTAGGCCCCGGCCCCAAATCCTGGAACCGACTCCACCTGAACTTTGGGATACATTGGGCCTTCAGTTCTGGACATTGTGGTTGACCACTCTCTGTCCAATGAGCCCTGGGTAGACCCAAGTGGGCCTAAACCTAGCAGAAACGTAGACCCTGCTCTGGATCAGACTGTAAGAGCTTAAACCGTCCAGCTCTCTCTTCACCTCGGACAGCTTTGCCCAACTCTTTTTTATTTCCCAGCAGCTCTGAGCCAACCGATGTGCTCCAGAAGCAGTGAGAGAACCCAACAGACAGCCATGTGCCTCTCTAGGGCTATGGGGGACAGAGGAACTGGTTTTCCCTCCCCTCTGGGCTCCTGTTGGAATGCTCTGCTGGCTCAGGGCTGACCCAGATACACCTGCTCTCCCCTCGTTGTACCGTGTGGACAAAACAAAGTCTCCCCTCTTTGAAGAAGCTGGTCTGTTTAATGAGTACATGGATGACATGATGGTGAGGAGGGGGAATAGCAGATCTCTGGCTCTTTTATTTCTTAGTGCACCCGGGGATGCATTGACCTGTCTGTCGCTCAAGCTGGCTAGCCAGACCGGGCTCCACTTGGGGCTGGGGTGGCTGGGAGTATCCGGACACGGGTGGACACAGCAGTGGTGCCCTGCAGGTTGGTGGCAGTGCAGGTGTACAGCCCCTCGTCTATGGTGCGTGCTTCATCCACGTAGAGGATGCTCTCAGATTCCTTCTGCACCTGCCCGCCTCGGCGCGCCAGGTCGGCACGTTCGCGGACGTAGGGTGGCCGGCCAATCTGAAAAACAAGCCAGGCACTTTCTCCTACTCCTTGTAGGTACAGCACCGGACACAATGGGACCCTGATCTTGGCTGGAGCCTTCAGACCCTGCTGTAATTCCGAGACTTTGGGCTCACAACACCCACCCCACTCCCCTCGCTTCCCCTACCTGCTGCCCTGGATACTCCCAGGTGAAATCGACTGCGACTTCTGGCTCCCCAAAAACCGTGCAGGTCACGTTGAAGTTTTCCCCAACCCGCACGGTGGCTGCGGAGGCACTGACCGTGGGCTTGGGAGCAGAGGAAGGGTCTGCGAGGGCGAGAGTGAAACGGTGAGAAACAGGGTTAGGAAGGGCTGCAAACCCCCATGGGTTGGCCACTGTCCCTTTCTGAGATGTTCCAGTCAACCAATGGCAGTTCATGGTGCTGAGAATCCATCAGCCCACCACCTCCCAGCCAACCCTTCTGGGCTTCCGGGCTGGGTTTGGTGAGGGACAGGCCTGCTAGCAGGTATCTCAGCTAACAGGGCCGCTGCTTCTGCTTATCAGAGACCTGTCTATATTGCAACCTACCGTCTCCATGTGCGGCGTGGCTGGCGGATGAACGCCAGGGTGGCATGTGTGTGGCTCTTGATAATTACAGACTGGTGCAGGTGTCAAAGGGCAGGCACATGGTTAACATGCCCAGGTAGCCTAGAGGAACTGCTCAGCACAGGCAGGTTGCCCATCAAGGCGAGTGGCAGCGATGAGAGGGCCACAATTCACACCCTCGTGGGCTAGTTCCTCCTGCGCTGTCTTAGGAAATCAGGTGGGATTCTGTGTCCCCCTCCCCTCTCCACCATCCCTGGCCCCACTCCTGGGGTAGCAGAGTGTTTCTGGCTAGCTAGCCCAGCTCCTGGGCTGACGGCGGTGGAGGTGGCTGGGTTAAAGGCAGGGGATGTCAGCAAGCAGGCAGGCGGAGGTCTCAAAAGGCGAGGGGCTGGATCTCATGCCCCTGCCGGGTCACTCACAGTTGATGTAGATGAGCATGTACTTGGTGGAGATCTGCCGCACGCCGTCCAGGCCGGCCATGCAGAAGAGCGACCCTGCGTACGAGGGCCGCGGGCGGTGGATCACGAAGCCCCTCTTCACGTCATACGAGATGTCCACCCCGTCCACGGCCACCTCCTCGGGGGGGAATTCACGGTGCAGCGTCACCTGGGCCAGGGGGCTGGTCACCTGGCAGGGCAGGAGCGTGGGGTGGTTCGTGCGCATCTGGACCACTTCGTAGTAATCCTCTGTCGGCACAAACAGCTCCTGGGGGTCTGGGGAGGGAGGAGGGCAGTGGGGTCACGTACTGCAGGCACGGAGGCACTGCCTGGCTCTCCCGCTGCACCGGCCTCCCGTGAAATGCAGCCTGGCATGCAGCAGGCTCCCCTGCTCCCGTGTAATGCAGCCTGGCATGCAGCAGGCTTCCCTGCTCCCATGTAATGCAGCTGGCATGCAGCAGGCTCCCCTGCTCCCGTGTAATGCAGCCTGGCATGCAGCAGGCTCCCCTGCTCCCGTGTAATGCAGCCTGGCATGCAGCAGGCTCCCCTGCTCCCGTGTAATGCAGCCTGGCATGCAGCAGGCTCCCCTGCTCCCGTGTAATGCAGCCTGGCATGCAGCAGGCTCCCCTGCTCCCGTGTAATGCAGCCTGGCATGCAGCAGGCTCCCCTGCTCCCGTGTAATGCAGCCTGGCATGCAGCAGGCTCCCCTGCTCCCGTGTAATGCAGCCTGGCATGCAGCAGGCTCCCCTGCTCCCGTGTAATGCAGCCTGGCATGCAGCAGGCTCCCCTGCTCCCGTGTAATGCAGCCTGGCATGCAGCAGGCTCCCCTGCTCCCGTGTAATGCAGCCTGGCATGCAGCAGGCTCCCCTGCTCCCGTGTAATGCAGCCTGGCATGCAGCAGGCTCCCCTGCTCCCGTGTAATGCAGCCTGGCATGCAGCAGGCTCCCCTGCTCCCGTGTAATGCAGCCTGGCATGCAGCAGGCTCCCCTGCTCCCGTGTAATGCAGCCTGGCATGCAGCAGGCTCCCCTGCTCCCGTGTAATGCAGCCTGGCATGCAGCAGGCTCCCCTGCCCACTGGATGGCGAGAGCAGATGCTGATTCTCTCCAGCACCAGTTCCCTGCCTGCCCCGAACCGCGCTACGCCTGACCTGTGAAGAAGATGAAAGCTTTGCCCATCCTGTCCTCTCCGGCCCGGCACTCGCTGTCCCGGCACTGGAAGGACCAGCAGCTGTACTCGCCCGTGTCCGCAGCCGCAGCGTTCACCACCAGCAGCTGGCTGTACCTGTCAAAGTGCTTGATTCTGAAAAAAGAGAGAAGAGAGCCCCACTCAGCCTCCAGGAGAGTCGCCCTGGGGCCCTGCATTGCACTGAACAGCCACACAAGGGCTACATCTAGACTGCTGGAATACCAAGACTTTGGGCTCACAACGCCCACCCCACCCACCTCGCTTCCCTCCCTGCTGCCCTGGATACTCCCAGGGGAAATCGACTGTGACTTCTGGCTCCCCAAAATCGACTGCTGAAATATCTACATCTAGACTGTCGACAGAGGGACGCAAATCAAGCACGCTGAAATTGCTAATGACTGGGATTTAAATATCCCATGCTTCATTAGCATAAACATGGCTGCCACTTTTTTTTTCGAAACGGAGCTTTTTCGAAAAAAAATGGCACCATGTAAACCCCAGAACCAGGGTCTTCCCGGCATCTTCAAATCCAGCCCTCCTGCGTGGCATTTGGTGAAGCCATTTGACACCGTTGGGCATCATGGGGGAAGGGACGCCACGCAGGGCCTGCTCCATGGACGTCCACGACGGGCCCGTGGCCAACCCCACAGGCCTCCCAGCGCCCGTTGCACACCACGGACACGCACCTGAGCCGCCCCTCCTCCTCGTCCTGCAGGTAGGCAGGGAACCTCCACCTGACGGACCGCCCTCGGCAGCGCAGCTCCAGGGTGTCGCCCGCCGCCAGCGTCAGGGCGTCAGGCACCTTCTGGAACTGCCCTCTGGCCACCACCCGAGTCAAGATGGAAGCCGGCGGCTGCACCGGGCTGGGAGGGGCCGTGGGTTTCCCTCGGGCTTTGGCCTTCAGGGCTTTGGCTGCTGCCTGTTGGCGCCTCTGACCTGCTGCTTTGGGAGGTTTGAGCTCGTTAGCCTTGAGTTCTTTCGTGGCCTTCTTCTCGGTGGCTTTGTGGGGCTTTTCCTTCTCCTGACACTCAGCTGAGGAGAGAAGACGAGGTTGACAGCAGCGCTGCAGCAGGCAAGCACCCACGGGGAGAGGGCTCGGAGGCTTTGCAGGACCTTTCCTTACAAAGGTTGCTCAGCCGCTAGACCAGGCCAGGCCGAAGGCCTGCACGCTTATTCTCCCTCCTAACCCACAGCCCTTCATGGGCACACCAAGGGGCTGGTTAGGAGATGCCCCATTTCTGTGCATGCTGCTAACTTCAGCCTGCAAAATGGGGACCACTTTGCCACAGCAGATGGACTGGGATGTGGCCAGCACCTCAGCAGACTTTAATCAGGGTGATTCCTTTGACCCTGATGAAGCTCCCCCCGGTGAGCATGTGGCCTGCGAAAGGCTGTTTGCAGGTCAAAGCAGGGGGGTGCCCGATCATGGCCACAGTCAGTGTAGCCTGTGCAAACTCGGAGAGGCCAGGTCTGCAATTCTGGAGCCATAGGCCAGTTCGGGACAGCCACCTCAGACCCCACACTTAGGGGGTCCCACAGCGACCGCCTCAACCGTCCTATAGACGGGACCCAGATTCCCTGGGGGCCAGGTGTGGGGCAGCAGTAGGGGTCGCTATGGCGACGGGAGCTGGAGCGGCCAGGCCCTCAAGTAATCCCGGGGCTTGCATTGCACTGGGGAGAGGGGGAAGGGGAGGGAGCAGGACATGGTGGGGGTGGGGCAAGGTTGTGGTTTGGGGGAAGGGGTGGAGCAGGTACAGGTGTCCCGGGCCCACGTCTGGGGTGCTGTGGGGGGTTGTGCACCCCACTAGGGATGACCTTGCGTGTTATATGCCCTAAGGGGCGGAACTCTGCAATTCTTGCAGGGTAACGTTATTTACCAAGGAAAGTCTTACCTGCTCACCCTACACAGGGCATGGCTGGCAGGATGTCTGTGCGCTGCAAGGCTGGGTCTACACTGTCACTAATTTTATCACATTTGTCGTTCACGGGGGCTTAAACTGCCCCCCTCTCCCGTGAACAACAAAGTTTTGCCTCAGCAAGGTGCATGCGGGAACGCTGCTTGGTCGGCAGCCAACGACCCGTAAGCCGCTCGCCGGGGGTACAGGTGCCGACAATCAGCGTGCGCACGCGTTGACTTTAGCGACAGGGCTGTGCCAACACAGCCTTCTCCCTACAAGCTGAGTAGTGTAGACATACCCTAAGCCATTGCTTTTCAAACTGGGGGGCGTGACGCGGGGGGTGGGATGTCGGGCGCTGGGGCTTGTGGCTGCAGGGGGATCAGGTGAGCAGTGGGGGGCTAAGGCAGCTCCCTGCCTGGCTTGGCACCGCAGACTGCGCTGCGCCCCAGACGTGGCCGGCAGCAGGCCCGGCTCCTAGGTGGTGGGGAGCACACTGGGCTCCATGCACTGCCCTGGCCTTGAGCATTAGCTCCGCACTCCCATTGGCTGAGAACCTGCTGCCGGCCGCCTC